AAAAACCCCAACCCAAAAGAAATATTAGTTAGGGGGTAAAAACACAGTTTACAGCAAATGTGAATGACCAAGAAACATCTGAAAACAAGCTCAACTTCATTATTACTCATTAAAATACAATTTAAAGATGTGAGCTGAAACCCTTTTTCAGAGTTGAATGAAACACTAAAGGGATGGGTCCGTGCTGCAATGAAGTGGGGACGATGTGGCCATCTCCACTCATCGCTGGGGAAATGTGGCGTCCACAACCGCCAGGGAAAGGAGTCTGTCAGTATTTACTGAAAATTAGTTCAGTAATTCCACCTTTAGCAATCTAGTCTCTAGATTGAAAAAGCACAAAGATTCTAGTATGAAAGGATATAAAAGGATATTATTACCATAATATTGTTGATAGTGATGAACACTGAAAAAACCCTCAAGTCCAGCAATGGTGGAATGGTAGGATAAATACCAGGAAGTATGATGCCATTCTTAAAAAGAATGCATTTTATCTTTATGTATTGCCCTGAGGAATGTCCATCGTGCACTGCCATAAAAGCAGATTGTACTTTGTCCCATTCCATGAAAAGAGACAAAGTAGAGAGTGTTTATGTATTTCTGTACATTTGGACGTAAAAATTGCTGTTAACATTGTTCTCCTTCAGGGATAGAAGGAGGTTACCGGTAACTATTATTTTTATTCTTGATACTAATAATGGTATCTTTCTATTCCTTTACTTTATACCCAAATGAGCTACACTTAAATATGGTTCAACCAAGTGCAAAGGGCCAGGCAGGGATCAGTATACCTGAAGATGCTGCTTCTGATTTGAAACCAAGTGCAGAATAACACTCTGCGAATGAACTTGATGGGACACAAACTCAACCGCACTGAATTCCATCAGATGAGAGCCATGGCTTAAAAAGGTACTCGGGGTGATTTAGGGTGTGTTCAGTCCAGAATCACACCGTCATACCCAACAGCTGTGGGGCTAACACCCTCAGCAGGGCTCTCCAGGAGCTGGAGAGTCGAACCCTGCAGCCCTTGATAAAACCTTCCAAGAAATCTTACACAGCAGGAAATGGGTCCTTCAAGGACAAGGAAACAGGAATGGGTCGATTTATCAAAGAAATGGCTATCTGGTGGCCACTAACTCCAAGTTAATGAAAAGTTCTGCTCTTTAACAAGGTTAAGGCAGACCAAAAGAGGAGCTGAAAAAAATGTCAGGGTGTTGAGGGGAGGGAATGATATAAAAGGAAACTGCCCTCACAGAGAAATGAAGCAACACAACTCATGTTTTACCTTATAGAAAGGGCACTCCAGGAGCGAGGTTAACATAAGCTGGGTCAGTTGTGCTAGGCTCAGTCTGTCCAAATGAGATTCCTCACCTGCAACAAAAGCATCCCAGTCGCAGTTAAATTTGAATTTTGATATATGTAATGAGAGAACATTCAGAATATACAACATCTATTTAGTCACTCCAATAAGGCACTCTTAAATGACACTATGAAAAGAATATGTTCAAATTAATTATGCTTTCTTGCTTGCCATCAATGTAATCTCATTTTGACTTCCAAGAACTGAAGCTCCTAACTACAGAATATATAATTAAAAGGGACAAAATATATTAGTTGTATTAGTGGGACCTTCCTGGAAATTGAGATTTTTTTACATACGTGGTGGCCTTCAATTAAGATGAATACCATTCTCTCAAAAAATAAAAAACAAGAGTTCTACAATTGCTTTCACAGGCTCCAACTTGTTGCTGTGACCGTGACCACTGCCATCACCACAGCCCCCCCCCAAAACAGTTTCTCAGCTGGAGTAGCAGAATCTGTTTACCCAAAACTGTTTTCTCACTCGATGTAATCTTCTAGCTTTTTTTTTTTTGGTATTCATATACCAGATACTGTTTTAATACTGCTATGCAGGAGACACTGATTTTCTTTTATGAACAATAGTTGAATGTCTCCTGAGTGTTGGTTACTAGGAAAGGGGTAAACATTAGATTTCATCTATTCATTCATTTGTTAAAAACAAGCTATCCTCCAAACGACCCCCTCATTCTTCCTTATTGTAGCATTCTTTAACTCTGTATTTGGTAAATACATTTGGTAAATACACTACCAACTGTAACTTCAGATGTCTCTGTTAGCTTATTATGGAAGAAAAAATAAAGGTGAAACATTACTCAGTGTAAAAGGTACATGCGTGACTTGAAAACATCACAAGTTCAAAGGCTAATTTTTCCACTCTCAGAAGTTATAACCAACTCACCTTGCAGCTGTTGAAGAAAATAAGGGCTGAATATTTTTGCCATAAAGTTGACTGGATGGCATTCAATCAGTGAACACGAATGGAGAAGTTTCAATAGTGTTTTGGGAGGAAAAGAACTGAAATGAGTGAATAATATATCTTCTAGCTTTCTAAATAAAGCAGAGGCATTTGGTGGCAAATAATTGAGTTTTCCAAACGGTTCGATCAACTCAGAAATCTGACTGGGTGAAAATTTTTCTGAATGGCAAACAAAAGCTTCTGCCACTGCATTTAGGATAGGTTTGGAAAGGATCTGTTTACTACCGCAGTACCCCATGACTTTGCTGACAACCTCAGGGTCCAGAGAGAGACACAGTGACACTACATGCTGCTCCAGGGCTTTTATAAAAAATCTGTCATGGTGCCCAAAGTATATGAAAGCATCTAAGACTTTCCCGAGTTCTTCATTAGTGAAATTAGGGATGTGCCTCACAGCATATTTACCCAATTTTATAACCAGAGGAAGTGCCTGAGTTTGATCGAGAACCACTAGGGCAGTGAGCACTTGGCTTATCAATTTAGGACTCAGGTTGGAAACTATCGACAGAGAAAAGCTGTTAATCTTATTTAGAAATGTCTGGTGTTGGTCCACTTTTTCAGTACATGTCTGCAATATTCTATAAAAGGCCACGATATCCTCGGGGGTAAATTCTTCCAATTTTTCACTTTGCAGTTGATGTATAATCAGGTCTAGTGTCTTACAATCTGGACCTTGTAGTTTAAGCAGACTTTCCGCAAGAACACAAAGACAGTGGACTTCCAGGCTACCCCTTCTGAGACGCTGTTGGCATTCTGCTACCAGATTCAGTAACAAGCTACTTTGGGGATCCACAAGCAACAGAGTCAGGGCTTGCAAAGCAGTCACCAAACCTGTGTTCGACAGGTTTGAGGGTTCCTGTTCAAACTGAACACATAAAGCTTGAAAGACGGGATTCTCTAGTATTTCCTCTGGCAGCCTTTGATCACCATCCCTTTTTCCCACTTCACAAATCCTTTGTAAGGCTCCTGCTGCCATAGTATCAGGCAAAGATTGCAGCGTGCTTATAAAACTTAGCACTTCTTCCGATGAAGTGAAGTTGTTCAGTGTCCTGTAAAACATCTGTTCGTCCATCGTTTTGAGATTTTGTTCAAAACTGTCCCAGTCATGTACTTGAGAGAACACTGACTCACCAAATGGATGAAGGTCATTTCCATTTTCTGAATGGAACTTTTTACAATAGGCATGATGGAACCTGACCCTGAAAGGCCCAGGTTGTAGTGAGCAGAACCATGGGCACAGATGCTCCTTGACTGCCTTGTGAACATGATTTACAGGTTGATGTTTCAGAGCAGCCAGAGCTCCATGTATCCGAAAATCAGATAAATGACACAGGTTCCTCCGCAAGGTAATTAAAGCCATGCCATCGGATTCTCAATTCTTGATTTATAACTAAATATAGGAATAAAAAACATGGTCAAATATACAGGGAACATGACTCACTCAACATCAATACTTATGAAACTAAGGTTAAATACCCAAAATAAGTGATTAATAAATATTTCCCACTGAAACATAAGTACCAAAAAGGGCAGAGCCCATCCTAAAGCTTAGAATAGTGACTGGCACCTAACAATAATATTTGCTATCATTTGCCAGACACTGTTGTGCTGTATGTATACTAAATTAATATTTCTAACAGCCCAATGAACAAAGCACTTTTGTCATCATTTCACAGGTGAGCACACAAAGCACAAAGAAGTGATTTCATCCACTTTACACAGCTAATTGAGGGGCAGAGTTGGGATTCAAAGACAGGCAGTCTACACACAAACCAACCTGCGTTCTGTAAGTTGGCTGATGGAAAGGACCGCGTTTAGTTAAATGTGTTTTCCCCCAGAGCCTGGGAATCCCCGAATGCGGAAGGCCCACCACAGTTAATTTGGAGGAGTCAAAAGTTATACCGGATTTTCCACGAGGGGCGAGAGGGGAGGAGATGTCAGTGTCCCCAACGCTCACCTTGTTCAAAGATTAAACTGTACTCAAAAAGGAAACGGGTCATCAAAATTTCTATAGATCAACGTAAAGCAAAGGTTTTTTTTTTTAAGAGTGCATAAAAGCCCCAGAGGTTTTGGCTTCCCCTCGGGGCTATGAATGAGGAAGAAAAGGGTCTAGCTGCGCAAATGTTGAAGAAAAAAAATGAATTAAAAAAAACCTAAAATAATGCAGGCCAATAAGGGGGTAAGGTGGAGAGACTGTCCAGACCCAAACACCTGGCTGTGAGATTTAGGAAAACGCGTGTGCAGGACAGAGGGGCGGAGATCGCGCGTCCTTCTTAGAATGAAAGCAATCCAGGGTGCCCCTAAACACGGGACCAGGGGCATGCGCTCAAGCACCCGGCGGGAGCGGCGGCCAGAGAAGAGATGTGCAGGACAGGGTAGCACTGGCGCTTTAACGACGCTACGGGCCCAAAAGCCCAAGCGCTGAGCCCAAGCTCTGAGCCCAAGCGGACACCTACCAAGTCCTGCCCGCCGAGGTTCCAAGATCCTGGAGCCACCAGAGCCTCGTGGGCCCCTGTAGCACCGCCGCTGCGGAGCCGTGCAACACAGCGCATGCGCGGGAGGCCGTGCCGACGTCTCGCGCGCTGTGATTGGTCCAGCTCCCCTCCGGACTTTCTACACGTAGTGATCTCCAGCGCAAAACACGCGGGTCTTAGTGTGCGCAGGCGCTGGAGCAAAAGCCGCGTTGCACGTTTGTTCTCGGTCGTCCGGTCCTGAGTTCCCTCGGGTGAGTGTTTTGCTGCAGTTGTACCCCTGTTTGGGCTGCGCGTTCGTCACCGGCGGAGGGCCGGTGGCTCCAGGTTGGCCAGGGCACAGACCTCTACGGCCTGGCGTTCCTACCCCCGTGCGCGCGCTGGGGCATCAGAGCCCGGTCGCGCTGAGCTGCGGGCCAAAGACGGGCTCCCGGGACCGCTGGCCCCGTGTTTGCACGAGAGCAGCTGGTTCCGTCGGTGTCTTCGTTCTGAAACCTTTTCTAGTCGGCGGTAAAGGGCACAGTGGGGGCTCGGGGACCCGGGGTGTTTGGAACTGGCTCCGGAGACTCAGGAATGTTTGCATCACGGACCTGGCAGATGGGTTGTCCTGGTCCACCGCGTCTCTGCCTGACCTTTCTCTGTGGGTGCCAGGGAACCGCCTCAGAAACGTGGGGTGCATTACCTGTTTTATAAGGTAGTTATAAGACGAAGAGATTCGGTTAGTTCTCTGAAGCGCCTGTCCCGTGCGTGATTCTTAAAGTGTTCCGGATGGATAGTTATAATAACAATTGGTAGTATTTTGTCATTACACTTTCAGAGTTTTCAGTGGGCCCTAAACCTGTAGTGTCTTTATATATACTCATTTACACGTTTCTTTATTCTGTTAATTTATTGACCACACTCTGTATGCCAGGCGCTGTTCTGTACCCTAAGCAGATTCCATGATTGTTATTATGTTCTCTAACAGAGAAAATACTTTTTAAAATTTATTTGTTGCTTAGTTTGCCCTAAGGTGTAACTGGCCAGAGGAGCATTAAAATATTGGTGGTTCACATACCAAAGCCAAGGTTTTGATTTGGGATTCAGTTTACATTTTTCCCTACAGTACTGAAAGTCCCTCAGGTGTAGACACTGAATGAGTATCAGTAGTGAGTGCCCTTTATTACTGGTTTCTCTTCAGGAAAAATATGTGTACTAGTAAAGTGATTGAGTGGATTAGAAATATTTACTTCCCATCTATACATAATAAAGTACATATACAGTGCACTTACATATATTGAGTCAAATAGTAAAAAGTGCTTGACATTAGAATCAAGTACTAACCATGACTCCTACAACTTTAATGGAATTTTTACTTTTTGCTTTTTTTGAAAAAGCAAACAAAAAGGTACATAAGAGTTATTGAGCACTGCTGTGTCTCAGCCAGTCCTCAGGTGCTTTGCTTCTGGCAGTCTGACAGTACTCTGATTATCCCACTGTGGGGGTGAGGGAGCCGAGGCACAGGTCCTCTGGGCGGCTTGCCTTCACTTCCTCGGTTATGAGTGAGCTACCCTGGATTGAAGCCCAGGTAGTCTGATCCCCAGACGGTTTTTAAATCATGGAATTTGAGTTTCATTTCACCTCCTGGATTGATAATTCTCTTTTTGTGACTCCTTGGGAATTAATGCTGACAAACAAATTCAGGGAAATGTATTTCTTATTTTGTATGGATAGTGTTAGTCTTTTTTTTTTTTTTTTTGAAGAATATGAGGGAGAATCAATACCTGCAGGTTGTTACTGCTTCGTTAGAAAGAAAACCCCTTTTCCCCTTGTTCATTTTTCATTGTAACTGTTCTAGCTGTAACAAGCATATGCTTGGAGGCGATGAGAAGGTTCTTGTTGCTCTATGCCACACAGCAAGGACAGGCAAAAGCCATAGCAGAAGAAATATTGGAAAAGGCTGCTGCGCATGGATTTTCTGCAGACCTTCACTGTATTAGTGAATCAGATAAGGTAATAGCTGCTACTCCTGTGGTTTTTACTGTTTTATGCTTTGAAGATACTTTGTTTGGAAGTGATGTTAAACAACCAAGTAGGGCTTTAATACTCAGAAATTTATTTTATAAAGTGTTTTAAGATTCCTGCCAGCTCTTCTTTTTTTTTAACATTTAAGTATCCGTTTGAATTAGACTGAACTGTCTCAGAAACTTAAACAAGTAATTAACCCATGTGAAACTAGTATTCTTGGCCTTGTTTATCTCACTGGGTGACTGTGGGAGCACATGAGATGTATGTGTTTGCATGCGTATGTAACCCCAGTTTGCATGCACTTCAGAACCCCAGTGCCCCATTTGTGTTTCTCCAAAATGAAAACATTGTCATTTGTGTCAGAGCTCCTCCCAGTGAAGGAGCACTTCTTTTGTGAAATAGAATTTCAAGTAGAAGCATAAGGATCTGGAGAAGACTGAGTTTCTTTAGGTCCTGGACTATACTTGCTTGTGCATTTAATCTCTGCAGAAGTCTGTACCTTAGGACGAATAAGATCTTAACAGATCTGTGTTCTTCTTACAGTTTTGTTGAGACCTCCAGATTTTACTGCTTTATATAAATCAGGTTGTAGCAACTAGCAGGGTCTTTCATTCAAGCACAAGCTGAGGTCCCATCCACTGAGCAGTCAGATTCAGTTCAGTACTTCAAAAACTACCCTGTTAGTACTCTCGCACTCAAGTTCACAACCTCCTCTGGGCTTTCCCCACATCTTTCGTTCAAAAAACTAGACTGTCAGCAGCACATTTGAATCGTTAACTCAGCTCATATGAGGAGAACCAGCAAGTTCCTTTATACACCAGGACCAATGGAGCCAGTCACCCAACAAGGAGAGTCCTGATGGACACCGCTGTTGGGGGGAGGGGGGGCTCCACCCGCAGGGCTCCCCCAGCTGCCAAGGATGAGAATAAGTCTACCAAGACATGATCTGCTTGGGGAGGAAAGGTGGCCAATCTCTCAAAGGAGAAGGGCCAGGAGCCTTTTCCTCAGTGGGCTTTTATTGGGTTCATTTGCACAGGAATACAGATAAAGCTCATTAATCATTCTGAGGAAGTAAGGCTCAAACAATAGATAAAGAACTCTGAGGGCCTATTTTGAGTCAGGGTCAGATAGCTAAAGAGCTGTAAAACTTTGAGGAACAAACTTAGTTCTTGCTTGGACCCTTATTGAGAGCATTCTAAACAAAGGTTTCACAGGATTTTACATATTCTTTCTTAGGCCTGATTGCCCGGGGAACCCGCCCTTTCAGGATGGGGGGGCAGGTGGGGGGGCTGCACCACCCTCTGTCATTGTTTCAGGCTTAGGTGGAGCAAGGGAATTAGGGCAGCCAAGAGATTAGGATACTTCTCACAGACTGAATGAGGACTCAGGCTTTGTCAAAGCTGAGGGGCGAGGATCCAGCACCCCCTTTTGCTGTAGCCCCCCAAGTCATTCCTTGGGGGCCTCCCATGTGATCGTGCCTGGCTTAGGTCGTTCCCCCCTTGAGGAATCTTACCTGTCATTGGCTAACCGACCAAGCATTAGGGGCCAGTTATGGATGAAGTAAAAGGAATAGAAGTGGAGTTTCTGCCAGGGAGATAAGCTTTTGTCTCCTTAGTGGCTTACGGTCCAAGGTCGTGGCTCCCTCGGCCTTAGCCTTGGCGGGGGTTACAGCTTCTGAAACCAGGCAGGGCGGTTCCCAACACAGCACCAGGTGGCAGGTTCTGTACTTCTGTAGTAACTTCAAAGTAAACTTGTGGGTGCCACATGATGGAATACAACCTGAATCTTACCAAAACAGGGTTATCATGTAACTAACTCTGATTTGGCCCCTTGGGTCACCTCACCACCCAGGTCAGCAGCTATTTGAAAGTTAGGTGAATAGTTTATGTGTTTTAATACCATGTTAGTAACATTGTTTGCTGTCTCTAGCTGGATGGTTTCTCCAGTTCTTGATCCAGTTTTAAACAGAGAGCTCTCTACTTCCTACATCATGAAGTCATTTTTAAGGTGTAGTTACTGTAACAAACCTCACAGAGTTGAGTACACAACTTGGGAAGTGCCCCCTAAGCATGGAATCTCCTGGTAAAATGTTAGCTCGAATCCTTCCTTATCTGTTACGTCAGCATGAGCCAAACTAGATGATACTGGTGAGCAGTAGAGCCCATGGAATTGGAAGTAGAAAGAGCGAAGTACTCTATTTGAACTATTTAAATTTAGGTGAAGATTAGAATAAAGAAGCTTGATTTAAAGACCTGGAAACACTGAGCATCTCAGTTTCTCACCCCTGATGCTCTCAGCTGGCTGGAACCCTGAGGGAGTGAGAGCCGACTTCCCTGGTAGCTGAGGAGTAACAGCTTCCTTCCCGAGTTGAAAAGGCTCTACGAGCCTCGCTGCCTGTGTGCCGTGTGCAGTGCCGATGACTGCTTCAAGATGGAACTGAGCTGATTATGTGAAGCCAAAATGACACGTAGCAGTGGATCCCTGACATGACGTTCTTTTGTAGTATGATCTAAAAACTGAAACGGCGCCTCTTGTTGTGGTCGTTTCCACCACTGGCAACGGAGACCCACCTGACACCGCCCGCAAGTTCGTAAAAGAAATACAGGACAAGACGCTGCCGGTTGATTTCTTTGCGCACCTGCGGTACGGATTATTAGGTATGTACTATATATTCTTCTTTTACTGTACTGTTACTACTAGCTTGAATTGTGGTATCTGAATGTACCTTTTAAAACCATACTATATAGTGGGGCAAAGGCAGGTTTACAGTTGTATGTGAAACAGAGTTTATTCTTGAATTACTTATTAGTTATTGTATTTTCCCATAGGCACAAGTGTAAACCTACTTTTGCCCCACCCTGCACGTAATTGTATGGGCTTTGTCCTTTTTGGGTTTTTTATGTAAACGTGTGTGATATTTCATTGTAAATAATGTGCTTTGTTCCATGAGGTCTTCAGCACAGCACCACCTCTGCAGAGCCCCCTGAGGAGCATTCTTAACCACACGTGCATGTCCGATTCAACCACGACACATTTTCGGACTGGTAGTGGCTAGCCCCACCGCAAACCTGCTAACCCAGAATTCCCGAAGGAGCAGCCCTGCATGCTGCACTGTTGTTTTAAAAATCTCCCAGTTGGATCTGATATCCTCCCTAAGAACCAGTCCTCTAGGATGGTGGTTTTCCACTTGTAAATCATTTTATTGGTATAAATTATACATATGAATAAAATACCTTCAACTTGTCCTATAAGCAAATATTTGTGAAATGTCTTAAAAAGAGTAGTTTGATTTTTTTACATCTATCAAAGTGTATACTCTCTAAAAATCATTAAAAGCTAATACACAGATGTAAATTAAATCAAAAAACAAATATCCATACATCCTCATTCCAGTCAACTATATACATTAATCTGGGTACGGGGGAGAAGCAGCTCGGCGTCTCTGTCCTCACTGTGTGTGTTGGTGGGATTGCCAAGGTCCCTGACTGTGTTGGAATGAGCATCCCCGCATCAGGAAGGAAGACGTTCCCCAGGGGACAGTGTAGAAACCATACCCAAGGCCGAAAATATAACTTATACAAACGATTTATTGGTTTGCTCTGTTACTGTAATTATGATGTGCAATTGCACACATTGAGAGTTAGTTGCTCTATTGAGTCAAGTGCAGGTTTGACACAGGTACATGCAGTAGGACCCCACCGTCACCTGGACAGTGTCCTTGTGTTAGCCATTGTCCAGTAACCTTTTGTACTTCCGACCACTTATCCTGCAGGGCTGACAACAGCTGCTTCAGAGAAGTTCAGGTGGGGCCCACAAGGGACTTGCTGGCATTTGTTGAAGGCAGTTGTAGGAATGCTTACAAATTAAACACAGAGGGCTAGGAGAAGCCCAAAGTAATGTGTTTTGATTATCAAGAAATGGATCTGTTTCTGTTTAAAACCAAAAAAAAAAAAAATGGATCTGTTTCTGTCTAAGAAAAAAGGGAGGGGGAAGTAACAAGAAGAGCTGCTGGAAAGAGGAGGCACTGGCCTGGTTTCCACTCTGACGGCCGACCTTGCACCCTGCACAGGGACTTCTGTGTGGGTGGCAGCTTTCAGTCCTGGCTGCACACTGGGATCTACTGTAGGAGTTTTCATTGAATTCATTACCTGGGTCTCCCTCCAGTGATTCTGACCTAGCTGTTCTGATCTGATGTAGGGTTCTGGTATCAGCATGTTTAAAAGCTCCCAGGTTAAGAAACACTAGTCTAGTCTTCTATGAAATGTACATTAAAATACTAAGATAAAGGATCAGATGGACAGGCTCAGCAAGATATGATGCCTGTTAGGGAATTCAGGGTCCATTTCCTGGCTTGTGATCTGTTTTGTTTATCTTTAAGAGTGATTCAGGTGGGAGGGTATCCAGCAAGTTTGGATTGTATCCAAACGTAACTGATTGGAAATGATTGACTGTGGGGAGCTGGGGGCAGGAGTGGGGGGGGTGGGAGGGGAGAGCAGTGGGGGGGAGGTGGGACCACTATAATTGGACAACAATAAAAAAATTTTTAAATCATTAAAAAAGAGAAATTGCTGATAATGACCCTGGCTGAGGTCTGTCCTATATAACATGTTCAAGAGAATATTTTGGAGTATTTGCATGTTTTTAATTCAGGTTTTTCTAGTTTTTAAGAGTGAACATGTATGCATTTAAAATTTCTCAATAAATTGTTGAGAAGGAAAGACTGAAGCCCATCCAGTCGCTACAGTCTATCATTCATAAATGGACCCACTGATTGTTCACCTTATTCTTATTGGGAAAGTGCATAAAGAGTAAAAACCTGAGAAATTGGAGCTTTCAATTTTAGATTTTCAACCAAGTATGAAAATGTTAGTCCAGTTTCTTACCAGGAAGCCAGTGAGTGATGATTTACATTGTGGATGTACTTTCTGTGCTCAGGGTTAGGGGTCAGCAAACCCTACAAAGGTCCAGGTGGTAATTATTTTAGGCTTTGCAGGCCATGCGGTCTGTGTAACGGGTACTCACCTCTGCTGCAAACCTTGAAAGCTGCCATAACAGTCTGTGAACAAATGGACTTGGCTGGGTGCCAGTAAAACTTCATTTACAAAGAAAGACGGTGTATTTGGCCCACAGGCTGTAGTTTGCAGACTGCTATACTAGACCAGAAATGTCTGCAAATACTGAATGATGTTTTTTAAACCAAATCCTCCTTTTAAAATTCTCAGATTTTTACACAGATCCATGGAAGCAAGAATGAAAAAAATTTTGTTAACAGTGGCCAAAAAGTATTTGTTGTTTCAATGTGCCTGGTACTTTTCCATTATAAAATAGAAAATATTATTTCATACTTAGTATTACTAAAAGAAAAAATTAGTGAATGCAAGGCTATACATTATTTCTTGCTCCGTCAAAAGAGCATGAATGGTATTGTTTTAAATAATTTATTTGTATATGTCTTCTTTAAATTTAAAACCTGTTGTGCACTGATAACTTCTTTGGGCTTTTTAGGTCTGGGTGATTCAGAATACACGTACTTCTGTAACGGGGGCAAGGTCATTGATAAACGCCTGCAGGAGCTTGGTGCCCAGCATTTCTATGGCACTGGACATGCGGATGACTGTGTAGGGTAAGAGCACCGCGCTCCTCTGTCCTTCCAGGAGCCCTGTTTGTACATGATGCAGGGAGGGTAGCGAGTGTTTTAAGTGCCTCGTCCGTCTCAGTGTGTGCTAATGGAAGAAATTACAAATGGCGTCCCAGTACAGTTACTTTTATAACAAATGTGCAGGTATTTGAAAAATCAGCATTTTCTTTAGGAACATGGATATCCCCGGTGTGTGCCTTTCTCTGTGGTGCACACAGGGGCGGGTCCTCTCACGTGGAGGGTGCCCAGCCGCCCGTGCGTCACTGAGAGGGAATGCAGGTCGGGCCTCCACAGCAGGCCTGCGTTCCTTGGCACTCTCTTCCTCACATTTTAGTGTCCACCAGAAATGCAATCTTTGTATTCACTATTTATTCTTTCTTCTGCAGTTCAGCATTCCACACTGTTGCCACCCTTCACATCCTCCTAATATTTATTAAAAGATCTTACAAATATTGATTGTCCTACAACTTATTCTGCCATTTAACCTTTAACTATTTTAGCCAAACAGCACACACACTTGCCTTTTTCTATGAGGTGCATGCATTAAGTGATTTCTACCATATCTGTGCTTATGAATGATGACAAACTCAGCCAGTGTCTTGCTTTTCTGAATATTATCCCCTTGCATGAGTGTTGGATATATTGAGTTGGCCCAGAAACTGTCACTTTTTTTCCATAAAAGACACACTTTTCATTTTCACCTATAACTTTATTGATTTGGGTATTTTGAGTATATTGGCTATCTCTTGCTATTGGTTTCTAGTGGGTAGAGGCCAGGGGTGCTGCTAAACATCTTCCAGTACATAAGATACCCCACAGCCAAGAATGTCAATAGTACTGAGAAACTTCACAAGCCACTTTTGACACATTTGATCAGGCACAGCACCTTCACCATACACTGCACTCGTCTTTTTTTACGTTTCAGTTGTGTTTTTACCTTTCTTGAGATAATAAAGCATAATACACTGGAAATGTTATATATCTTCTTCCAGCTTCAGTATTAAAATGGCTGCACAAAAATTCACCAATTTTGATTTTTTTTTAAATTCATGCTGATGTGATAGTCTAACAAAATTGTTTTGAATGAAGTGAAAGACAACTAAGCACTACTAGAGCCATTGCACAGAAGAAACGTAACGGACATTTTGGCCATCTCACTACTTTCATCCCTCTAAGCTCCCCCTTCCTGCCCGTCATTGCCTGCAGCTGTGATGCTGTGGCTCTTCATGTCCTCAGTGCACACGTTCTTCCTGACGGTGGTGACAGGGCTCTACCACATTTCATGACGTTACCTTTTAGTTTTGTCCCTTTATATTGGACTTTTTAATTTTCTTCCAGAACCTCACTGGCATTAAATGTTCATTGTCTTGTATGAGCTATTTAATTGCTAGCTCCTTATGTAGTCCATCCACCTGTCACTCTGTCCATATTTTACTTTTGGTTTCCCTGTTCATTTACTGGATCAAGTGTTAACATTTTTGAGTGTGTGTTTCAGCTGCATGTTTTAACTTTTCAACCTAACTACCTTACTTGAATTTTTCCTTTTCTAAAAGTAAAATATTTTCTAGAAGACATCCTAGTGTCTTAATATACCACCACATTGAAAGTGTTAAGAATGCCGACTGGAGTCCAAATACCTAGGTTTAAATCCTTGATCTCTCATGTACTGACTGAAACCTTGGTCAAATTACTGAAACTTTTTGTGCTTCCATTTCTCCCTGTATGAAATAGATGATGATAATGTGTATTATGTAAGGTTCTTAGAAGGATGAAAGGAATTAGTACAGGTTGTCCTTTCCATACAGTAAGCACTCAGCATTAGTGCTATATGATTTCTGAGTTGTGAAACTGGTTTTTCTCATTGTAGCTGTCATTTCGAAACCCATAATTTTATATATTTACTTTTCCAAAGGCTCCTGAGGGTCAGATGTACCAAACTGAGCACCTAATGAATACAGTGAAATTATAACCAGTAAATTAGAGTCAATAATACAAAGTCTAAAATGAGCCTTTTCTTAATAGTCATGTAATTTTATAAATTGGAATTTAATTGGTTCCTCCTTTCAGTTGTAATTAGACAAAGGTATTATTTCCAAGGTCCTGACACAATCTTCCGTATCTGTTCGCTTACAGTTTTTCTGTGCAGAGCATGTAGGGAAAGTTACTGTGGAGGAACCACACTCTGTCAGGAATAAGTCGACCAACACATTTCAAATATACTTATGATTAACTCAACTTACCTAACAGGTGATTGCTTTCCCCCCTATTGTCTGTCTTCCTGGAAATTTTACCAGAAAACTTGTTCAGAACTGATAGAAGGTTTGAACAGTTACTTAGTCAAAAGAGTTAGCATTTATTTCACTGATTTCTTGGTGATATTTTAATACATAGGAAATAATCATTAAGTTGGCTAGGTAAGGAAAGATACTGCATTCTATGATATGATTATTAATTTGTAATATTAGATGAGACTTGGATTTTGGGTAAGTTCTGTTAGCCTAGTCAGAACTTAGCATGCTTGTTTAAAATTAAAACTTTTTAAAATAAAGATTACCAACTCTATTTTAGGAAGTTAATGAAGAAGAATAACATTCCTATTACCTACTACTAAAATACTGGGTTGGCCAAAATGTCTGTTTCATTTGTTCCATAAAATAAAAGACACATTTTTCATTTTCACCAATAACTTTATTGATTTGGGCATTTTGAGTATGTCGGCTATCTTCTGCATGGTATAACCTTGATTGTTCTCAGTTAATGTCTGTTTGATTGCTGTCAACGTCAACCGATCTTCCTGACCACGGGGCATTGTCCAGCAAGAAATCTCCAGCTCAAAACTTAGCAAGCCACTTTTGACACATTTGATCAATCACAGCACCTTCTCCATACCCTGCACAAATCTTTTTTGTGTTTCAGTTGCATTTTTCCCTTTCTTGAAATAATAAAGCATCATACGCTGAAAATGTTGCATATTTTCTTCCATCAATATTAAGATGACAAAAATTCACCAATTTTGATAATTTTTTAAATGCATGCTGATATGACATCTGTCACAATCCAATCTAACAATTGTTTCAAATGAAGTTAAAGACAACTAAGCACTACTAGAGACATCTTATGGGGGAAAAAACACCAGACTTTTTGGCCAACCCACTGTCTTCATTTCTGCCCTGACTGGTGTGGCTCAATGGGCTTGGCATTGTCCCTCAGAGCAAAAAAGGTCGCAGGTTCGATTCCCAGTCAGGGTACAGGCCTGGGTTGCAGGCCAAGTGCCCTGTTGGGGGCGTGCGAGAGGCAACTGATGGATGTTTCTCTAGCTCACCAATGTCTCTTCTCTTTGTCTCTCCCTTTCCCTCTTTCTAAAAATAAAATCTTTAAAATATCTTCATTTCTGTTCTTTAACTTTATATTAGCTCATATTTTACAGCTCAGTGCTAAGGAGCTCATAATAATGTTTTGCTTTTTAACTTAGTCATTCATCAGTAATTTTTGTATTCCGAAAAGACTTCCTAGTGTTTTTGACAGTTGCCTAGCATTCTGCATAATGGACAGACACTGCCATTACCTATTCTTACATATTTAAATGAAGAACTCAGGCTTTTGTTTCTTCTTCCCTTTTTTCTTATAACAATCCAGTTTAGAACTTGTGGTTGAGCCGTGGGTTGACGGGCTCTGGGCTGCCCTCCAGAAGCATTTTATGTCAAGTAGAGGAAAAGAAGAGATGACTGGGACTCTCAAAGCAGCATCAGCCGCCTCCCAGAGGACGGACCCTGTGAAACCGGAATTAATACACATCGAATCACAAGTGGAACTTCTCAGATTAGATGACTCTGAAAGAAAGGATTTTGAGGTTTCCGATCAAAATGCAGTGAACGGAGGTCCATCAAGTGCTTTGACTGCAGACTTGGAGTCCTCACTTACCCACTCAGTACCCCCGCTGTCCCAGGCCTCTCTGAATATTCCTGCCCTACCACCAGAATATTTGCAGGTGCATTTGTATGAGTCTCTTGGCCAGGTAAGCAGCCTTCCTTCATACTATGTATTATCTTACCACGGATGTGGGAGGTTTTTTGTTTGTATTTTTTAATTACAATAGAGGTCAACAGTCTATGGCCTGCTGACCAAATGTGGTCTGCCAGCTCTGTTGTAAATAAACTTTCATTGGAACATAACTATGCCCTTTTATTTACAAGCCCTCTGGGGCTGCTTCTGCCGTGGCAGAGTTGCATAGTTACCACAGAGGCCTGCCCTCCATGTACTATAGAGGCAGTTATATTATTATATTACTTCTGTCTTTGAAGGAGTAAATGGTTAAGAGCTCAGTTTTTCTGTTATGTTGGAGAATTAAATTCTTAGTTTCTTATTTCAGATGTGAGTCAGTCCAGGGCAAGTTGTGGGCAGTCAGGATATTATCTCAGCATCTAAAATTAAAGGAAACATTTAGAGCAACATCTCTTTTCCAGAGTGGATTTTTGTTATTATGTATGCTCCATTTGGGAGATTTTTTTTTTTTGACAATATTTTGCAGACCCGTTTTGTATATAAGGCTTTTTCTTTGCAGGGATGTCCAACCTTTTGGTGTCTCTGGGCCACACTGAAAGAAGAAGAGTTGTCTTGGGCCACACATTAAAGACATTGTGACATATAATCACAAAAAAAATCTCATAATGTTTTAAGTAAATACAGTTTTGTGTTGGGCTGCATGTGGCCCATGGGCCACTGGTTGGACACCCCTGGATGGAACATCTTTCGTATCAAGTAAATGACTGTAAAGTGGTTTGTAAAATTTTGAGCTCAAGTGAAATAATAGCTCACTTCTCATGGTTGCCAGTATGTGGTGCCCTGAAGTGTCCTGCAGCACGCACAGGGGCAGCTGTCAGTGCAGCCTGTCTCTGCCTGTGGCTGACAGGAGTCCACACGGGCTTCCTCCTGGAAACCATGCCCGCAAAGCAGGGATCGTGGTGTGCAGTTTTTTAATTTTCTTTTTAGTAAAGAAAGATTTGACACTAGAGAAACAATTTAAGTACAGCTTGCTAATACAGTAGAACTGTTTGCAGATGTCTTGATGCAATAGTAATTTTTTAGCATCTTGGGTTTTTTTTTTTTACTGTTTTTCTAAAGCTTTCATATAAGCAAGGGTGGGTTACTGTTATGGAATTTACACTGCATTAGTTTGTGAATTAAGTAAGGTAATTACAATAAAGTACATGTTAGGTTTGGGAACTAAAGAAAGAGGGCGTGGCTCTGCTTTAAAAGGTGGACTGCACAGGAGATTTACTCTTCAGTGTGCTGGGAGAAATGTCAGGGAACAGGCGACCAGTAAATCGGCCTCAGCCGGAGGGTGCAGAGTGTGCACCTGCATGCTGCAAGGGTGGGGACACGTGACAGTGGCCCAGTGAGCCCTGATTAGTCTGGCAGCTCCCTTCAGTAGGGTGAGAGTCTGCTAAGAGTTTCTTTTATGGTGCACGCCATTAAATAGGCTTGAGTTGTTAGTAATGTGGTTAAAAATCTCAACTATTTAAGGCAAAATTGTATAAACCTGCTCCGAGGACACACGTAGAGGGAGAGATTGGAAAAGTTTCCCTTACTAAGGCATCCTTTTGGAATCATCGCCTTGAGAAACTGATGTGTCCAGGAGGGAAGGATAGCCCAGTCCCCCACGTATTACCTACAATTCAGGCGCTAAGCACTCACCCTCTTCCAGCTTCCCATGCAGCTGCTTAAAAATCCAAAATGAATTTACTGGCATTTTGTTAAAAGTTACTACTTTTAGTAAAACTTAGGAACCTCAAGTTAGAAAAGGTATGGGGACAGTATAGAATCAGGTTTTTTTATAGTTTCCAGGACCTGTGCTGTCTAATACAGGCACCACCAGCACGTGTAGCTGCTTAAATTACCTAAAATTAAGAACAAATCTAGTTCCTCAATTACAGTAGCCAGTTCTCAAGCGCTCAGGCACACGTTGCTAGCAGCTCCTCTATTGGCCAGTACAGATTCGGAGCATCTCATCACTGAGAAAGCCCTGTTGACTGTCACTGCCCACGACTAAGGGTTCTTGTGACCATCTGTACAGGCACCTACCAGTCGGAAACACCTGTCATTTCCTTTGGAATCACCTTCCTAAGATACACAAGCCTGCTATTTCACTTTGTACAGCGTGTTGGGAAGGCTGTTAGAAATTTACATGGAAAAGCTCATATGTGGTATCAGTATCTCAGAAATTCTAATGTCTAACAGGGAGTTTAAAGTATGAGCTTCTCTCTTGAAAGATGGAGAAGCGTATGTGTGTAGTCAGTTACCTTAGAAAGGAATATTTAAATAGCCGGAATGTGTTATAAGATCCTGTAGATCTTATGTAGTCACTTAGTGAAGCAATGGTAAGTATTATTGAAAAATGCACTTAGTAATTTTTTGTCACATTTGTTTCTCAAGGAGGAAAGCCAAGCATCTGTGACTTCAGTGGATCCGATTTTTCAAGTTCCAATTTCAAAGGCAGTTCAGCTGACTACGAATGATGCCATAAAAACCACTCTTCTGGTAGAATTGGACATTTCAGTAAGTTACAGAATTTATTTCACAGCACGGTGATGTTGTCAGGGAGTGCAGAGAGACTTACCTGTGTGGTATTCTAGTTCGTACACTCAGGAAGAGTGAGTCTCTGACAGGACTCTGGCCTTTTTATTCTTTTTTTTTTTTTAAGTATATTTTATTGTTTTATTGATTATGTTATTATAGTTGTCCTAGTTTTTCCCCTTTTGTCCCCCTCCGTCTCATACCCCACATTCCCAACAGTAATCCCCCTCCTCCCTTAGTCTCGTATCCATGGGTCGTGCATATAAGTTCTTTGGCTTCACCATTCCCTATACTATTCTTAACATCCTCTGTCTATTTTGTACCTACCAGTTATGCTTCTTAATCCCTGTATCTTTTACCTCATTCTTCCCCTTCCCCTACCCTGCTGATAACCCTCCAGATGATCGCCATGATTCTGTTCCTGTTCTGGTTGTTTGCTTAGTTTGTTTTTGTTTTTGCAGTTTATATTCAGTTGTTGATAGTTATGAGTTTGTTGCCATTTTAATGTTCATAGTTTTGATCCTTTTCTTAAATGAGTCCCTTTAACATTTCATATAATAAGGGCTTGGTGATGATGAACTCCTACTTTCCCTTGTCTGAGAAGCACTTTATCTGGCCTTCCATTCTAAATGATAGCTTTGCTGGACAGAGTAATCTAGATTGTAGGTCCTTGCTTCTCATCACTTTGAATACTTCTTGCCAGTCCCTTCATGGCTGCAGAGTTTCTTTTGAGAAATCTACTGATAGTCTTATGGGAACTCCTTTGTAGGTAACTCTCTTCCTTTCTCTTGCTGATTATAAGGCTCTTTATCTTTAACCTTTGGCATTTTAATTTTGATGTATCTTTGTGTGGTCCCCTTTAGGTCCAACTTGTTTGGGACTCTCAGTGCTTCCTAGACTTGTTTGTCTATTTCCTTCACCAAATTAAGGAAGTTTTCTTTCATTATTTTTTCAAACTAGTTTTCAGTGTCTTGTTTTCCTCTTCTCCTCCTGGCAGACCTATGATTCTAATGTTGGCACATTTGGAGAAGTCCCAGAGTTGTCTTACTCTCTCCTTACTTTTTTGAATTCTTGTTTCTTCATTCTGTACTGGTTGACTGTTTATTTCTACCTAATATTCCCAGTCATTGATATGAACCCTGGCTTTCTTCCCTTCGCTGTTGGTTCCCTGTGGATTTTTTCATTATTTCACTTAGTGTAGCCTTCATTTCTTCTCAGTGCTCTTGTCGTACTTAATGAGTTCTCTGAGCATCCTTATCGCCAGTGTTTTGAACTTTGCATCTGGTAGGTTGGCTGTCTTCATTAAATTTAGTTATTTTTCTGGGGTTTTGTTCTTTGCTTTTATTTGGGTCATATTTCTTTGTCTCTTCAATTTAGCAGCCTCCCTGTGTCTGTTTCTGCATATTATGTAGAGCTGCTTTGACTCCCTGTCTTGGTACACCTGTTACATTGAATGGGGCAGAACCTGAGGTAATCACCAGGGCAGGTCAGCCCACTTCACTGCTTTGTGGCTTTGTATGTGGGGGAGGAGCCAGGGCGAGTGCTGGAGGCTTGCTCAGCACTCGCCCTGTTTCCAGTCACTTCACCTACTTCTTGTATGCAGGTGGTGCCCCGCTAGCTGCTGCCCTTGTGGTGGTTCCCAGAGGGGTGGGTTTATGTGCATTCTAGGACTGTGCAGGCCCTTAAAACAGACTCTCCCGAGAGATCAGAAGTTTCTTCTGCTGCTCCAGCCCCCGCTGGTTTTCACAACCAGTAGTTAATGAGGTTTTATTTCCCTGGCGCTGGAACCCTGGGCTGTGTGGTTTGGCCTGGGGCTGGGATTGCTGACTCCCCAGGTATCCCTCCCGATCTTTATCCATCACACATGAATGTGGGACCTCCCCTTCTGCTGGCCACCACCACCTCATGGCCACCACACGGTGTCCTCTCTGCCCCTGCACTCCCTGTCTCTGCCCCACCCACCCATCTGGATGAATACTGCTTCTTTAAATCCTTGGTTGTTGGACTTCCACACAGTTGGATTTTCTGGCAGTTCTGGGTGTTCTTTTGTTTTGAGATTGGTTATGATCCTCCTCATGGTTGTGCAGGAAGGCGAAGTGTGGCTACCTATGCCGCCATCTTGACTGGAAGTTGGCCTGTTATTCTTACCCATCATACTTCTCCCTACCTCACACCTGTTTTCTTCTCACTTCAGGGAAGGCCTCAAATGAGCAGCTTGAGAGAATAGTGTTGTGGACTTACACAGTATCCATGAAAGGGTAATGGCATCAGAACAGCCTTTCCATGCAGGAGGAGTCCTGGGAGGAAGCTGCTTACCTAGGTCAGCGAGCTGGTTGGAAACGGAACTCTGACTAGACAGTCATATATTCATTTTTTCAGAGCACTGGTTCTCTTTCCTTTGAGAATCTGGAAAAAATCACCGATTCTCTTTCCAGAGAAATGATTATATTTAAACATTTCCTGTAGTTTCAGGGGTCACTGTGTACTTATCTCTGAACTCTATCCACTAGCCCATCCTCAGCACCCCTCCCCAAATCCACTGACTTCAGGTTAAGAAACTGTGATGCTGAAACCTCAGTGTTCGAGTACTTCTTGAGAGTTGTGCAGTTCAACCCTTTATTTTGATGAAGGCCCTGAGAAGTTCAGTGGATTTCGATTTCAGGAAAGTGAGGGCGCATCAAGGCTGTGTCTGTAGATATAATCGAATTTCCTGATAGAAAAAGAAAAAAAAAGACAGGCATCAAAACTAGGTTTTGAGTCATTCCATACTTTTGAACATTTTAATACTCCATATTGTTAAATATTCTGTGTACATCAAAACGTTTTGGTTTTTATTCTGCTGCTCTACGCTTTGGTCATGCAGAGGCGAGAGTGGGCCAGCTGGTGAGTCCAGTCTGTCCCCCACACAGGCCAGGGATGTGAGTGCATGTGGTTGGAGGCCTCTGCAGACGCCAGTCTGTGTTCTGCCTCATTCGGTTGATAGATGCGCTGTTTGTTCGCCCCCGGGACCAAGCCCGATGGCGTAACACTTTCCGCTCGTGAAGGAAGAAATAGTGTCCTCTCCCACCCTCCCCAAAGGAAAGGAGTAAGGAAAGGAAAGTGAAAACCAATGCAGACTAACAATTTTTTGTTAGTCTTACTGTTACTGGACATTAATTTAATATATCTCATTAATCAGTGATGAAAGGGCCCTAGATGATCTAGTGTTGTCCAACCGTACATTGACACCTGATTTACTCTAACCGTGTTCCTCAAGTGGATGCCAAGGAGTAAAACTCTCCATCTGTGCTTTGCCAGATGTATATGGCCAGGGAGTGGAAACAGTGTTATTATTAGGCCATCCTTCATGATGATGCAGTTTTTTTCTATGACCTCGGGCAGTTTATTTTGCCCATAATGTGTCTGTACCTGTGTGTGTGTGTGTATTAAGAGGGTTTTCTCTTACATGGATTACTAAAACACTACTTACTGAGATCCCTTATTCTGTAAAAAATGAGGGAGGGTCTCAGCTTCCACTCTGTAGGTACTCAATGATATAAAGCAAAACAGTGGCTACCTACAGAATTCCATTTTTAAAATAACTCCTAATAAGTATGTTTGTTCAGTTCATTGGCATGTTAGCTTTTTTGTAATTAAAATAATTTTAAGTTTCTAACTAATATATTTAAATGATTATAATAAAAGCTTTGATTTTGTTGCTCACAACTAAAATCTTTAGTTTATATGGGATTTTTTTATTTTGTGTTGGTTCTTCTCTAGAAGACAGAGTTTTCCTATCAGCCAGGAGATGCCTTCAACGTGATCTGCCCCAACAGTGAGTCTGAGGTGCGAAGCCTGCTCCAGAGACTGCAGCTCACAGACCAAAGGGAGCACTGTGTCCTCTTGGAAATTAAAACAGACACCAAGAAGAAAGGTAGGGCCCTGACCGTTTTCTTAAGGTGCCCCTGGGCCAGCAACTCGGAGGTGACAAGTTTGAGTGCGCCTTCCCCACAGGCTCTCACTGAGCACCAGGGGATCGGCCGCTGTCAGCTGAGGGACATAGACACTGGCCGGTGTTGCTGCATTCTTGACCTTTACAGCAGCTACACCGAGTGAGATGATGATGGATTTTATGCTTATTGGCCACTTACCGACATTTTTAAAAGAGAATGTAACTGGCTTTGGAGAAGCAGGTTGGTTAGTTGGACTGATTTATTTGCTTTTTGATGTTTGTGTTACTTTGTTTCTAAGTTCACATGTTAAATTTCATATAAGAAAAATGTTATCAACCTTTTTAAAAAGTTTTCTTTAATGCTTATTATAGCATGTTATTGCATATTTAATATAACTAATTGCTTTTTTATAATTAAAGGAATGGTTTTTCTTTTTTCAGCTCAGGCAGTTCTATCTTTTTTTTGAAACTTTTTAAAAACATTTTTTAATGTATTGATTTTAGTGTGGGGGAGAGATTTTGGTTTGTTGTTCCACTTATTTAATACATTCATTGGTTAATTCTTGTATGTGCCCTCACTGGGGTTTGAACTCGCAACCTTGGCTTGTCAGGACGACACTCCAACCAACCGAGTACCTACCCGGCCAGGGCCTAAAATTCTTTTAGAGAATTACATGGGATGTTAACAGACTACTGCCACAGTTGACTTTCTGTGCCTTGGTTTTGAATAAATTCCTTCCTTTTATTTGGCATACTTATATTTGGTTGTTATATCTGTTGAATTTATAATTCTTTTATTATTATTATTTTTTTTTTTAGTAAAATGGGCTTTTCTGCTGGATTTATTTTGAGGAACTGTTTTTGACAGAATAAACCATGTCACAAACCATACCACAATATGATAACACTATAATGTAAAGTATTGCTGTCACTGGTGGTGTTGGAGTACAAAACATTTCACTTGTTATTTTCTGTGCCATGAACGCCTTCTTGTCTACTTGAAAAGGAGCAGCCTTGCCGCAGCACATACCTGAGGGATGTTCTCTCCAGTCCATTCTTACCTGGTGCCTTGAAATTCGAGCTGTTCCTAAAAAGGTATTTTTCGTTCCTCTTTGGGAAACTATTTACAAATATGATTAGCTCTCTGTTGGGTTTGCTAAATAACTCTGGTATCTGCCCTTTGTAGTCTTAGAAAAGATGGTCTTCACAGCATTGTTTTCAAAATTAGTTCCCAAGGGTGTGTGGCATCTTCATAACTGTCATAGACAAATTTTTTTATGTTGTGTTTGCATGGAAATTTTGTGTGTCCTATTGAAGTGAGATTTCTTAAATAAGGCTTCTTGTTAGTCTTACTGTTACTGGACATTAGTTTAGTGTTGCGCATTAATCAGCAGTGAAAGTGGCCCTAGATGGCCTTGTGTTGTCCAGCTGTACATTGACACCTGTCTCTAATGGCTGACAAGAAATGAGAGTGTTGCCACCCCCCATCTGTCACCTGTTTAATGTTGTTGAGCTCCCTTTTATGTAAAACTACAGAATTACTCATTGTTAAGGCAGAATTTATGAGGAAATATTGAAAGATTTTGGTAGGCTGTATTGATATTGAGGTAAATTTGGAGATAGAACTATCCACTAGATGTCAGTATTTGGCTGGAAGCTGTATTTATTTATTTATTTATTTATTTAGGAATTTATTTATTTTTTAGAGAGGGAAGGGAGGGAGAAAAAGAGAAACATCAATGTGCAGTTGCTGGGGACTGTGGCCTACGATGCTTTGGTTCGCAGCCCGCACTCAATCCACTGAGCTTCGCCAGCCAGGTGGAAGCTGTATTTAAAAACAGCAGTTTAACTGATTTACTCTAACCGTGTTCCTCAAGTGGATGCTGAGGAGTGAAACTCTCCATCCTGTGCTTTGCCAGACGTGTATGTCCAGGGAGCGTAAACAGTGTTGTTATTAGGCCACCCTTCACGATGCAGTTGTTTTCTACGTGTTTATTGCATTTGTCGCCTCTGGGAAGCAAACTACTTTGAGAGAGGCTAAGTCCTAGAAATGATGAAAAATCTAGAATTAACCATGATGGAAGCTCTGTGATTAAATTAAATAAATTGAAAATATTGGTGTAATTCTACCATTTTTTAAATTTCATGAATTTTATATATATGTTTTTTACCACAAAAGTAACATGCTCATTGTAAAAATTGCGGGTGCAAGAATAGCTAACTCAGGAAGCAAAAGTTCTTTATAGTCAAACCCTCAAGGTTAATGCTTGAATATTGTTTTGCTTTTAAAAAAATGAGGTCCTCTGGTATATGTACCATTCTGTAACGTGTTTTTCACTTGAGAAGAAAGCAGTGGTGTGTGTACCCCAGCATGGAAGGAGCTCGGAGATAAAATGACAGGTCCATGGGCACCCCAGAATTAAACAACTGATGTAATCATGGACAGTTGGTTCCTTCCAGTTTTTCACCATTAAAAAAACTGAGAGGAACATTCTTGCACTGCATTCATTTTTGCACACCTATTTGAAGCATTTTTTAAACACATTTGTTGGAGTCAAATTGCTACTTTAAAAATACTTGGACTTTAAATTTTAATAATTTCCATCCACTTGTTCTCTACAAGCAGTGCAGTGTATCCTTTGTACCATAAAGTTTCTATAATTCTAAAGCAAAAAATAATTTAAAGACTTAAAATTGCTGCTATTTTACTGCAATTCAGGAAGTTTTATTGACTTGAGAAATTGGTACGAAGTGTTATTAGTAAACTCTTTTGCCCTACCATACATCCCTGCAGAGACTTGGATATTTTTTCATTGTACTGCCTTTCCCAGGTGCCCGTGGTGTGTTTGACGCTGTGTCGGGCACCTTGAAAAAGCCATGTCGTGTGTGGGTCTTGGGGTTGTGTAGGCAGGGTTCACAGCTAAGCCATTGGAAGCCTCTGACCTCCCCAGGAGCAGCAGTCTGGTCAGCCCTGTTGAGGGAATCCAGAGCACACTATGTCTGAGCCATGTAATAAAAGTGGCAGTATCCAGTAGCATTCCGGAAGCATTTGATGCAAATAACTTGCTTAAGTGCTTTCAGCCTACATAACCTTGAGTGGTAAGAGCTATATTCATCAGAGAACAGAAGAGCTTGGAATGGCATTGGAACCCCAAGTCATTAGCATGTTTGGTCCTTTGCTGAAGAGTTTGGACTTGGGTCAGTCTTTGAGATTTGGGATTCAAGACTGTGCCATTTTTTGTTCATATTCTTTTTCTACAAAGAGTCTGAGTGACTAAGTGTCCGTGTACTGCAGGGTGTTTGACGTTCTGGCCCGTCCTGTCTCTTCTGCCTTCCGTCCCATGTCCACATTTCCCTGCCCGCATATTGAACTACATGTGGTCCCCATGCCTTCATGCAGCTGTGCCACCTGTTAGCCCTTCTGCATTCCCCTCGTTTCATGTGGCCAGCCCTCAGCTCAGTCTTGCATTCTGGGAAGCCCCCTAATACCCTGCATGTGCCTCTCTTGGGGGAGCTAGCTTCTTGTGCACTAATTACTCCTGGACTTCTGTTGCTCTCACGAGCCTGTGAACCCTACAGGCAAGGTGGATGTCATTTTGTCCCCAGGGTCTCACCTGCCCAGTGCTTATCACCTGAAAAGCACTTAACGGTTGCCCAGTACCAGTAAATGTGGAAGTCTAGGTTGTGATCATCAGCTAAGGCAAGAACAGTGTTGTGTACTGACACAAAATGTCAAGTTAAGAGACTTTTTGACCACTTTTGCTCAGATACACCTAACATGTAATTTGAGATCCTACTTGTGAGGAAAGAGGTTAGTTCAGAATACAGGAAAGGTGACAAAAATCCAACATAGTAGTGAGTTTTCCTAACAGGCTGACATTAAAGCAGATAGCAAAGTAAATTCTCTTTTCCTGACCACACTTTTAGTGGCTCTCTCACTTTTTCTTGGACAATCGGGCACATGCCCAGGTAGATACTAGCAAACAGTCTAGTGACTGTAACCACAGAGCACGTGATGATTTAAGTCTGTTTCCTTCACTTTGGCCACAGGCATTCTTGCGAGCCCTTGTGGACTGCACCAGCGACGGCGCTGAAAGGCGAAGGCTGCAGGAGCTGTGCAGCAGACAGGGGGCGGCCGATTACAACCGTTTCGTAAGAGATGCCTGTGCCAGCGTGTTAGACCTTCTGCTTGCTTTCCCATCCTGCCAGCCTCCGCTCAGCCTCCTGCTCGGTAAGTGGTCACGGTCACGGTCCCTGAGCTCCAGGGCTGCTCTGTGTGCCAAAGAACAGTGGCTGCTGTCATGTCGCCGGGCCTGTGGATTCTGCGCAGCACCCAGGAGCACATTGAAACGAGCTGTGAGCAGTGGGCCGGCCTCTCACAGTTTGTTTTCTGGGCTCCTGGACATCTGAACTGCCCTCGAGAAGGCCAAAAGAACCCCTCTTCCAGGCTTTTTTGTCGTCTCCTTGTTTCTTCTACCATTGTCGCTATCATTTTCTCTCTTCATGTAGCCAGTTTTAATTCTCATTTTTTGCTCAGCATTCGGCATCTATTCTGTTAATTTTACTATTTTTCAGAAAACATTTTTTCCAAATTTTATCTAACAATGAGCTTTCTAAGAAAAACAATGATTTTTTTCACAGGTAATGAACATCACATTTAGTTGATGGAGGTGTGCACTTTGTGTGCAGGAAAAAGATTTTGTGCAAGTCCAGATTTAGGGTCCTGCCAGAGCAAAGGGGGGCTCTCCTGTTGTACCAGTGCAGGGGGCCTTACTTAGAGCACATCTGGGCAGTAAGCTGGGGAGAGGGCATCACAAAGTACCCAGATGTGTGTTGATCCTGTTTTCGTTCTTACTGTCTCTTGGGGTCTCCAACTCCGCCAGAAGAGGGCTTAAGATCCTCCTGGAGGAACTGCCTCAGGGGAGCAGAGGGGCTTTCAGTGGAGTCTTAGTGGCTATAAGAATTGTAATGATTCAGATTACATTTGTATTACTTTCCTGTGCTTGTAGTTTTGTTATCTCCACTGCGTTCACCCGTAATGATATCAGTAAAATTCCTAAAATTTGCATTTGCCTTTGGTGACAGGAGAACATGTGTGGTACTTTTCACGTTGGGCCCGCAGAGTCCTTTTGGTGCCCATAGTACACAGGGAAAGGCGCTCTCCCGGTACAAGTCAGGCCCTGCTCTCTTGTTCCTTTTATTTCTTAGTATTTTGTTCTCTTTCCTCGTCCTCAGAGGGGTAAAAAGTGTCTCCAGTTAAGACTGCTCCTCCCTGTTTTCCTGTACTCACGTGAACACTTCCTGCATTTTTATTTGAGTCTTTTAGGTGAATGGAGGGGTTGGGTAACATTCAGACCACGTCAGGGAGTTACATGAAGTCTGGTGAAGCTTGCAATCACAGAGGAGTATGTTTCCGTTCACGGATTTCCTATTACCTTTTAAAACTGTTGTTATCATTTATTACCTAGTTATGTGAAAAATTAATCAAGATATTGAGACATTAAAATTTGAGTTATTTTTCATTTTCTTTAAGAAAACATAAATGTCTAAAGCTTGCATTGTGTCTGAAACTGTTTTTATATTCATTAAAACCTAGCCATTTTAGAAAGGTCTTTTCAAATTTTTGCTAAGTACCGTATTTTGCCGTGTATCATGCCCTCTTGTGTATAATGCGCATCCACATTTTTGCCCCAAACTTCAGGAAAAAAATCTTTTGTTTTAATTTTCAATTCAGTTTTTTATTCATTTATACATAGGTACTTGGTTTTTGCATTTTGTATTATAAAGGAATCTTAGCATTTATTTTTTATGTATTATGGTACAAGCAATTTTACATAACAAATTACAAAACTCAAGAACAGACACAAAGTACCTTAGGTACTGCCCATGTATAATACACATGCTTATTTGTCCCTCAAAAATTTTGGCAAAAAAAGTGTGCATTATACACAGCAAAGTACAGTAACTGCTACAAATATGGCATTGAAAATCTTTACTCTTACAAATATGATACTGAAAATTATTATGAACATGACATTGAAAAATTCAAAAGCTTTTTGATGGACAAATAAGTATTCAAACATTGATTTCTTAGCCTGTTTTAGAAGCACCTATGTATCTTGAACTCACTGGGTTCCTCAATAGCTTGATTTGAAAATGTCCATTGCTAACTTCCCATTGTTTTTACTCTCACATAAATATAAGAAGGAAAAATATTTCAAGCCTCAATACCCGTAATTCTTAAAATAGAGGTCTTTAATCTTTTGGGGGTTCATGATTTTATTTCAAATCTGAAAACGCTGTCTGAACACTCTCTCCAGAAAACTGCATGGGCACACACGAAAATTTAATGGGTTTCTTGACCCTGAAGCCCACTCCCAGACCGTATCCTGTAGCGTCCTTTAGTTTCAGAAACCAGCCATTAGGTAGAAGCACTGATTTTAGATAAGGAAATACAGTGTGTCTGGTTTACTTTAGGAATTTGGCAAAAATATTCAGTAGTGTTTCACTCCAATATGGTGAATTTACATGTGCTTCAAAATATGATTTAAAACTAAAACTTAAGTTATTTTGAATAATTAAATAAAATAAGAATCAAATGAGACCTTGACTTTTTTTACCCTTTATATATCATTTACTTTCAGTAGCCATGAGTTAATAATGGCTTATTTTTATTTTCTTCTAGAACATCTTCCTAAGCTTCAGCCCAGACCTTACTCGTGTGCAAGGTACTGATACTGACTAACACGATACGTAGCATCCTCCTCCCAACGTGTTACAGAAGTCCACCTTCCAAATCTGCAGTAGCTATACACATTTGGTGAAAACTCACCCGATTGGTGGAGAAGTCTCAGGCGTAATAAGGGGTGAGGCGGACCAGTGGTAGGAGTCCTGCCCTCAAGAGTTCACAGAGGAGGGAACCTTCAGTGGCTCCCGTGCTCCAAACCGGGTTCCCACTTTGGGCAGCAGCTCTCCTCCTGCTGCTGTTATTGGTGTGCTCTGTAGCCCTCAGCAGACAGTGGAGGAGGACAGGGAAGACAGGAGCAAGTGAGTAAAGCTTACTGCACCGAGTCTTGAAGGCAAATAGGTCATTAGAAGCTTCCCTCAGTGATAATATGAAATGGGGGCGGGGGCGGGACTTTTAAGTGGCAACAGAGAAGAGTTAGGAGTTAGAAGATACATTAGAGCCCATAAGGAAAAACAGGGTGGAACAAAAGTAGGTTTACAGTCTTTCCTACAGAAAATACTACCTAATTAATAAGTAAAAACACAAGAATAAATTTAGTGTTTCATTACTCATAACTGTAAACCTACTTTGCTCCACTCGGGATTTTCCCTGCAATAAAAATGGGCTAGTTGGGCCTAAATGTACTGGTCCTAACAAGGTTTGAAGATGTGTGTGTGTCTTTGCAGCTCCATTCTAGCTCACCCAGGGAAGCTTCGCTTTGCTTTTAACATTGTGGAGTTCTCGCCCAACACCACATCACTGGTTCTGCGGAGAGGCGTGTGCACCGGCTGGCTGGCCACGTTGGTTGAGTCATTTCTTCCATTGAACACGTGTGCATCCCATGCAGACCGCATGAAAGCCCAGGCTCCAGAGGTACTAGCAGTGTGCCGTTTGGCACCCCTGAAATTGTGTTCTTTGCCTGATTAGAAAAAACACGTAGTCTCCCTGCACTGTCCAGCACCGTCAGATTATTCAGAGTAGAGTGTGTGCGATACTCGAGTTTTTAAATCCCTGTTGGAAAGTCAGGAAAACATTACTTCACTGTGTATTAAGTGGTCCGAGCATTTTGTAAATACATGAAGCATGATTTTTGTGGAATATAGTCTTTTCTCTTTTGCTTGTCATATTCTTAGAAGACTTTTTCTGTTAATATTTTTGGTAGATTGGCACAGAAGAGCCAAGTGAATATTAAAAACTGCCTCATTGTATGTCTAAGCCACATGCTGTGTCCCGAGTAAGTCCTTTTGGAGTGGCAGTCAGCTGAGAACCGAAGACTGATTCATGTCCTTCAGTTTGGGTTGCAGGATTTCACTTGCCCCGTTCCTTCCCTTTTTCCAGAGCTGCGTTGTCTAGATTCTGAAGTGGCACTCTCAGTGAGAAGACATTGTAGGGGGATCACTTTTGAAACACGTGGGAGAAAAATGTTTATTGGATTATTTTAAAACAAACTGTGGACACATTGTATCTGGACTTAGTGGTATCTTCTATATTTCGATACAGCACTCAGCAAAATCTCATTTGAGGCCACATGCGTAGCCAACAGTATAAACTTGTTCCTCCTCACCCATAAGAATGACCGAAATTAAAAAAACAAAAAAACTTCAGGCTTTATTGTGAAGTCTTCCTTCTCCATGGTATTGAGGAAATGAATGTCATTTGTAGCATTATCTTGTGACTGGTTTGGTTGCTGTAAATTATTGGAAATGAAAAGGTCACAGCTCTTAGAGGGAATTAAGACCTCTGGAACATACACAGGAGGGCTTACAGGAAGATTGCTGCTTGACATTGCCCTTTAACTTGGTATTTTCGCAGGCTGCTGCCTGCGACAGAGGTGGCTTACTCTGTGTGTGTGTGTGTCCCTATCCATTTCTCTCCTCCCTCCTCAATGCTCCTAGATTTATGATATCACTACAAAACATTGATAACCTGAGATTTAAAAAAAAGAAATATTGTAGTATTGGCATAAGAGTATTTTGTTACTTCATGATCATATAATACCAGATGAGCTCCACAAAGTTAAAAAAATAACAGTATATTCATAATGTATCACAGACACTAAGGAGGGGTGTTTTTCTCATATTCCTGCTTTCCTCCTGCCATTTCCTCCCTCTTTCCTTCCCCACTTTAACAGATTTTAATTGACTACCCCATATTCAGAAGTCAGAGGTACAGAGAGAAATGATACAGTTTAGAACTGTCTTAAGTTTCATAGTGCTTAGTAGTACCATATCTTACTAGGAAATGTAGAGAAAATTGAGGGCATGATCCACCACAGGCCCTCCTGTAAACTGGTAGGTAGTACAACTGTACACATCACCCCCCGCCCTCCACCACCACCCCCCCAGGCCCCAGTGGAATAGACTTTGCCTCCCAGTGGCGTTTAGCCTCCAACAGTGGAGCCTGAGCAGACCAGGTATAGACCACATCCGAGCAGGAGCCCTGGGCCTGGTGGCGTGGCATGGCGTGGCTCGCCTCCCTCAGTCATTCCCTCTGACCTAAGGACGGGATCATCCAGGCCAGGCCTGCTCCTTGGGCTGAGGTCCCAGGTGAAGGTGATTCAGAGAGCAGAGCCTAGCTGCAGCCGTGAAGGAGAACCAGGGGTCAGTGTGTGGCACTGTGACCCATCTGAGATGTGCTGCAGCAGGAGCCGACTGCTGCTCAGAGCTCCTTGCAGTCCCTGAACACAGAGATCAGGCTTCTGTTAGCAGTTCACGGCCATACCCTTCATGTCCTGTCTTTGCCTCGTGAGAGTCAGTCTCTCGTCACTCTAGGGGGGGGTGTGTGTGTGTGTTGTTTTCTCCACCCACTAGAATATAAGCCCCATGAAGATGGATTTGGTTTTGCTCCATTCTCTATTCCTAGTGCTTGTCATACTGAGTATCTTCAATAAAATCGTTAACGAATCAAGCGAATAGGCTAATGTGATATTAGTCTCATTCTCTAATGAGAGCAGTGATTTGATACAGCTCTGCCAATTCTTCATATAAGTCAGTCCTATCGATGAACTTCTGTGATTTTTCCTTGAATTAAAGGTTGAAACACACTCAGTCACCAGCATGGACTGCAGAGCGGGTTCCTATCATTCCTAACTCTTAGTGCCGCCCAGCATAATGTATGCATGTGGCAAAGGGAAACTGGAAAGAAATATCTATATATTTACAAATTGATTCCTTGTAAGTAATACTGCCACATGATTTAGGAGAAAAGTCTTGAAGTTTTGGTGAAAAGATTTTGTCTGTCTTTATCACTTACTTTGAGTTTAGCACAAACAGAAATAACTTGAACCCAGAACACCATTGCACAGTTTTCCTGCATCTTTGGAGCAAGCCCTCAATGTCCCAGTCAGCTGCCTAATTGTCACTTAAAACTTTCACACCATCGTGATGTAAATCTTTGTTGCCCCTGTCGGCACAAACGTAAAGAGTCGCGTCTTCGTTTTCTTCTGCATTCCTCCAAAGTACATGCCGTGGGTTGCATGCTGGGAAACATATCTTATTCATGGAACTAGAAAAGGAGTGATACCCAGTCAGTGTTCTACCTCAGAAACATTGAGCCTGTCGTTTTTAAAATACCATTGATTTGAGTAGAAAATAAAAATCTGTAAAATACACTTGTTTGTTTCTCTGTGGTGACAAGCATGTTCACGGTTTCAACAAGATGTAATGCTGTTTAGATTTATTATGTTTCTTTGAGGGAATTTGTGCTTTCTGGTTTCTTTATCAAAGATCGCTTTGGTTATATGCTTTTTAGATTTTCTTTATATTCTATCTGTTGTTTTAATATTCCAGATACTCATCTCTCCTCGGACAACAAATTCTTTTCACTTACCAAGTGACCCTGCAATCCCCATCGTCATGGTGGGCCCGGGAACTGGCGTAGCACCCTTCTTGGGTTTCCTGCAGCACAGGTATGCCCCGTCGCTGGCTGGCGAGCACGCCATCCCGTGTGGTCCTGGGTGGGGATGGGACAGAGCTTTTCTGTTTCTGCGGTGGCTTTTAGGATGTTGGACTGTAGTTATAAAACACTTATTTTAAAGCATTATTAAATGCATGATAGCATAACATAATTTGTCACCAAGGGAAAAGTAATCACGCTCTCTTCTGGAGGTTTTGCTTCGTGCTGGAACTGCCCTTTTTGCCCGAGCGCTCCCTCCCTGGCTGCCCCGCAGTACGCAGCTGGGGGCAGAGTTGCAGCGCAGCTTTACGCTGTGACAATGTGCCGGCTGTTGCGTCTGTTCCTGAGGTAGATAGACTCACTGGTGACAGATCCAGTTACAACCCCAAATACCAGTAATTTTCAGTAGGATGATATTAATAGGTATGACTTTTTATCAGGACACAACTGGTTGATACAGAATAAGTAAAATTGTGCTTCTCTCCCCATTTGTGAAATAATGAAGTTTTTGTGTGCCATTCCCCAGACAGTGGGGTAACATCCTTTGAACAGTCGCTTTGTTGTTTTCTTTTTTGTTTTGTTTTTTCCGTCGGAAAGCGAAAGAGTAGTGGTGGACACACTCAGCGTGTCTCCCAGTGTGTCCGCAACAGATCGTTCTGCCTTTCAGAACCCTGTGCCGCTTTCCCACTGTATTCACTGAGAGTTCATTTTATTCATAGGATTGTTATTAATAATGAATATAGAAGTTAGTCCAGGTGTAGCAGGGTGGCATTTTGACTTTTTCTTGCTGTGAAGATGTCAGGTAGAGCTCAGCGGTGTCTGCAGCTCCTGGAGATGCTCACTCCCCGTAGCGTCTGGGAGGGCTGAGGCACGCTGTGGGGAGCAGACTGTTAAGTCGGGGAATGGACTTTCAAGGGCTCCAGTGATAGATTTGGCAGAGCTTCCTGGGTTTGTTGGTGGTACAGTATTTCCATCGAAGAGAGAGATGGGTTATACATATTACATATGTTAAATATCTCAACTTTCTTTTTTCCTTAGAGAGAAACTCCAGGAACAACATCCAGATGAACACTTCGGGGAAACGTGGTTGTTTTTTGGCTGCCGGCATCAGGACAGGGATTATTTGTTCAGGTACTATACGATTCTAGTATTGTCGGACTCAATCACAGGCGTACAGTTCTCCTTGCAGGCTTTTTAAACTTTAAATTACAAACCTTCCAGTGACCCACTCTGTACTGTATTTCAGAGAAGAGCTCAGACATTTCCAGAAGCTTGGAATCCTAACTCACCTGAAGGTTTCCTTCTCAAGAGATGCCCCTGTGGGTGAGGAGGCGGCCCCAGTGAAGTATGTGCAAGACAACATTCAGCTTCACAGCAAGCAGGTGGCAAGGCTCCTTCTTCGTGAGAATGGCTGTATTTATGTGTGTGGGTAAGTGACCGTCATGCTTAGGTGCCAGGTAGCGGCGGCCAGCAGTGATATTTATTAAAGGATCAAGGGACCAGTCAGTTAATAATCCAGATATGTAGGGATGAGAGATTTGATTCGAAAGTACAGGGAAAGAAATACCAGTTCTAAAATGACTCTAACATACATTTTACTGTAAGGGGCAGGGCAGGCTCAGTTCCTGACAGGCTGAGGGCCTGTTCAATGCTTCTTTCATTTGACAAACACTCAAGTGCCTAGGGAGTGCCTTGGCCCTGTGCGGGTGCTGAGCGATGTGGAGATAAACGAGATACGCTCCCTGCCCCCAGATAGTGTGCTCCCTGGGCAGGGATAACACATGACCAGGTGCCTGCAGTGTAGCAAGTGCTGTTCAGGGGACTGTGGGGTGCCCCGGAGGGCTCCTCACCCTTCCTGTAAGTGAGCAGAGCTGAGCCGCATCAGAGCACTTGGAGAAGCGCCAGGGACATGTAAGTTCTCAGTAGGTAGGTTGTTACTGTGTGTGCGCGTGTGTATGCATGTATGAAGCCCTAGATGCTCCTGCAGAGAGCTTGTTGCCCCTGGCATGCAAGTCCCACTATGTGCCCTGAGAGTAGAGAGGGAGTGAGAGGTGAGCAGGGGCCAAATGGGAAGGTGTTTAGACCCTTAGGATTTGGACTGCTCCCGGGATATGGACACTGAAGGATTTTAAGCTGTGACCAGAGTGGTGAGCAGGACATGTTGGAATGGTCGCTGTGTGAAGACCTGAGTGTCGGAGGAGGTATCGGTGACTGGGGTGGGAGACCTTTCCTGAGAAATGGAAGCAGGGCTAAAGGGTAGTGATCAGGCATCAGTGGGAATTGGGTTCATGAATTAAGGAGGATTTGCTAAAAATGTCTGTTTCTCTAATATTGCTATTATTATTTCTTTTTTCCAGAGATGCTAAGAATATGGCCAAGGATGTAAATGATACCCTTGTAGAAATAATAAGCAAAGAGGTCGGAGTTGATAAACTGGAAGCAATGAAAACTTTGGCTACTTTAAAAGAAGAAAAACGCTATCTTCAGGATATTTGGACATAAAATCAGAAAATGAGAATTTTTTTCTTTTGTTTTTGGCTGAAAGTGCTAAAAGACAGGTTTGAAGCCTCAGACTTTCAACTTTTAAAATTAAAAACAAAATTAACTTTTCTTAGAGGAAGTAGGATGGGGAGTGGGTCACCTAATAGTGTAGCAAACTTCTGGTTTGGTTTTTCATATCCCCCCGCATCCCAAACCGCCCCGTGGCTTGTAGGCCCCCTGAACCGAGTGGCAGCCCTCACGGCTCCGCCAGCAACCACAGGGGCCGCTGCTGCGTCCTGGGGCGTGTGGCCACGTCACGGGGTCTTTGTCTGTGCACGCGGAGGCTTCCCAGTGCGCAGTGTGGACGCCGGAGCCCACCAGGCAGGTGGTTAAGTCTGAACTTGTGTTTCCAGTTTCTTTAATAATGTAAAAATGACTTATTCTTATATGGAATATACTATACATATGTATGTTGAAATTACACTGTATAGCATATCTGAGTACATGTTGATATTTATCAGATGTTTATTTTAATACCAAAACTATTTCTGATAAAATATATTTTAAGGTGATGCAGGGAATTTTTTTTATGATCCTAGAAATGTGAAATTTATTTTGAAATTCTTAATCACAATTACTTTTTTATATCAGTTTTAGGAACTAGGGATGTTGCATTCAGTTTACAGAAGTGGACAAGGACAGATTTTAGTGAAGCTGCCTTGTTCTCCTGCCTCTGCCTGCCCCCAGATCCTTTCATTTCTGCTCCTTTTGACATAATTTTAAATTTTTCCACCTCTGAAAGGTTTTCTTAGGCTCCACCAAGGAATAAATGCCAATCAGCCACAAAATCAGGCAGTGTAGAGCTTTATTGGGGTTTGCGCACCCGGGCGAGGTGTCTCGGTCCTCACAGCGGGGCTGAGAGAGCCGGGCCCGGGCAGGAGCAGGGAACATGGCGGGGTTTTATCTTTGTTGGCTCTCTCCCTGGGAGCTGGGGATTGGTCCCCTCCGAACAAAGCGGCAGCACATCATTGGTGGTTCTCCTGGTGCCCTGGTTTGATGTCAGCCGTCTTTTCCGGGTTGTAGTCCAGACGCCGTTTTGTCCTACTCCGCCCATCCTGACATTCCAACCTCTTTGATAGGATAAGGGGCGCCGTGTTCGATCCGGCTACTTTCTGCTGTCGGGGGCATAGAGGGGAGGGGCCAGAGGTCGGTCGTTTCTGCTTCGTCAGGGATGGGCAAGTAGGTTTGGGCCTGAAGCAGCATCTGGTTAAATGTAACCCGGGAGGCTTTGTGAATTCTTTCCTGGAGGAATCTCAGGAAATGGGCCAAGCATTAATAGTATGCAGATTATTATGACTGGTCCTAGGACCAGAGCCAGGGTGGTAAAGAGTAGGGAATGCCACCATGGGGTTATTGTTTTGAGAGAGGTGGGGTCTTGGCGAAATTTGTCCCTGAGGTTCTGTAGGGTGTTAACATTCTCTACTACTATGCCGCTCTCATTCACATAGAAGCAGCACTGTTCCTACAGGAAAGGACATGTTCCCCCTTTTTCTGCTGTTAGTAGGTCTAGATCTCTGCAGTTCTGGAGGGCAATCTGGGCTACCAAGGTTATCTGTCTCTGCAAAGATGCTAGAGAGGTGGCAGAGGCTCCACCTCAGCCCATAATTGGCAAGTGGCTTGGAGACTGTGTTAACCCAGCGGGGCCTATGGCAGCTGCTGCCAGGGTTGTGGTGAAGGTTAGACCTACTAGTACGGGCAGGAAGACGGCTCATTTTTCTTTAGGCCTGGTTAGTTTGTCCCTGAGCTCTCCCTCTCCATAATGCATAAGCTGTGGGGTCAGCATGGTTGGGAAGCAGGGAAGGCAGAGGAAGAGTTAATGGTCTGCAGCAGCGCTCCATTGCACCAAAAAAAATGTGCCAGGGGGGCTGGTGGTGGTTCATGATATGGGTATAGTTTGGTTGCAGGGGGAGGTGCTATTAATGGTGTAACATACCTGCAGCTGGCATTCGGGATCTTGGAGAAGAGGTACGTCCGGAAGACTGGGGATGATAAAGAATATGCAGCTTCCAGGTGATGCTGAGGGAGGTGGAAACCTGCTGGACGATTTGGAAGATGAAGCCTGGGCTGTTGTCCAACTGGATAGAGGAGGGGGGTCCAAATCGTGGGACAATGAGGTTGAGGAGGAAGTTGGCTACCGTATCCGCTGTTTTTCTTGTCGTGGGATGGGCCTCACTCCAACCTGAAAATGTGTCAACAAAAGTTAAAAGGTAGCGGAATTTTTTGTGGGGAGGCATGTGAGTGAAGTCGATTTGCCAGTCCTGGCCAGGGAGATGTCCTTTCATCTGGTGAGTTGGAAACTGGGGTTTAAAGCCTCCCTGGGTTGATGTTTTAGAGCAGACCGAGCGTTCAGCATGCACCTGCTTGATGGACTGGAGAAGATTTGGGAAGGAGAAGAGGGGATCTAGAACTTGAACGGAGCCTTGGGGCCCATGTGCAGTGACTGGTGGATTTCTGAGAGGAGGGGGACAGCCTGCTGCTGGGGAATGGCGATTTTTCCATTGAAGAAGATTCAACCTCCACTGCCAATGCAGCCACCCCAAGCATACAGGGAAGAGTATTCCTGAGCAGTATAGGAAGGAGGTACAGGGGTGGACAGGAAGAGTATGGGGGAGGGAGAAGCTCCAGTGGTCAGTTTTTGTGCTGCGGCATCAGCCCGGGCATTGCCCTGGGAGACGGGGTTTTGTGAGGTTTGATGCCCCTTGCAGTGAGCAACAGCTACTTCTGCAGTTAATTTTAAAGCTTGGAGGAGTTCAGAGATTAGAGATGCATTAATGACGGGAGAGCCTTTAGAGGTGAGAAACCCATGTTCCTTCCATGTTGGGAACCGCCCTGCCTGGTATCAGAAGCTGTAACCCCCGCCTAGGCTAAGGCTGAGGGAGTGGCCTTGGACTGTAAGCCAGCAAGGAGGCAAAAGCTTATCTCCCTGGCAGGAGTGCTGCTTCTGCTGCTTCATTCATAACTGAACCCCAAAGCTTGGTCGGTTAGCCAAAGACGGGTAAGATTCCCCAAGGGGGGAAACGACCTAAGACAGGCATGATCACTTTGGGAGGCCCCCCAAAAGAAGGACTTGGGGGGCTGCAGTAAAAGGGGGTGATGGACCCTCGCTCCACAGCTTTGACATAGCCTGAGTCCTCATTGTCTGGGAGAAAATCCCCTTATCCCTTCGCTGCCTTAGTTCCCTTGCTCCACCTAAGCCTGAAACAATGACAGGGTGGTACAGCCCTGTGCTGGAAAGGTCGGGTTCCCCAGGAGATCAGGCCTAAGAAAGAATATGTAAAATCCTGTGAAACCTGCTTTGTTTAGAATGCTCTCAATTGAATGAAAAAGATCCAAACAAGAAGTAAGTTTGTTCCTCAAAGTTTTACAGCTCTTTAGCTATCTGACCCTGACTCAGAATAGGTCCTCATACTTCCTTGTTACCTATTGTTTTATCCTTACTTCCTAGCAATGAGTAATGAGCTTTTACCTGAATTCTTACGCAAATGAAACCAATAAAAAGCCTCTCCGGAGGGGGAATGGGGCGCTCTCCCCACCAGGGACGGTGGCCAAGTGGCGCCCTCCAGGACAGAGGGTGGCCCTGCTGTTCCTATTCCCCCACAGGACCTGGTTTTCTCTGTGTATGTTTTTCTTGGGTTTTGACGAGCCATCCGCAGCGTTCTGTGACCACTGCTGGCCGGTGACCCACGCATCACTTCCAGAGTAGAGTGGCTATGAACAATGAGAAAGGCTTATTTGGAGTCTTTGTAGATGGTTACTCGCTTGTTTTTTTTGTTTGGTTTTTGTTTTTGTTTTTGTTTGTTTGCCAGAGAGCTCGGGTGAGAGCGATGAGTTCTGCTTTTTGTGGTGCCCTCAGGCAGCGGTTGTGCTTCTAGGGTGGAAGCAAGGGTGACCACCATGTAGGCCGCCCTCCGCCTTCCTTCGGCCCCCACCACAGAACTGCCATCGACGGACAGAGTGAGGTCAGCATTGGGGAGTGGAATGTCAGACACCCTGTCTGGGGGCTGCCCGAGAAAGTCAAGAGCTTTGGGACAAGAGTGAGTGGGCTCAGGATTGATGGTAGGCGCTGGTAAGAGGGTGACCGGGTTGAGCCGAGGGGAGAGGCGAAGGGATAAAGCGGTACTCTGTATAAACAGAAGGTGCAGCTCTTGGAGGCGTGAAGGGCTCAGTAGTGAGAGAGCCTTGTGTGAGAGCAGATCAGTAGGGGTGGGGCGAGAAAACGACCATCGGCTGGCAGAGAGTCAGCTTGAGGGCCTCCTTGCTTAACTCTGCGGCACTACCCAGGGCACAGAGACATGGCTGCCACCCCCGTACGGTTGGATGCAGCTGCTTGGAGAGGTAAGCAACCAGACGGTAGGAGGGGCCAACAGGTTGGGCCAGGACACCAATTGCTGTGCCTTGGCGTTCGTCGGTGAAAAGGTGAAATGGACGGGTGGGACTGGGAAGGCTTAGAGAGGGGGCCTGCAGGAGTGTGTCCCGTAACGTGGTGAAGGCTTTCTCTACCAGCTTGGGAGAAGTAAGGGGTCCCAAAGAAGCTTCTTTTGTAGCGTCGTACAGGGGCTTGGCCAGGAGGGCAAAGCCGGGAGCCCCGTGTCTGAAGAACCCCACTAATCCCAAGGAGGAATCTGATCTCCATTGGTGGGGTGTGGGAGCTCATGGAGGAGGCGAGTGCGGCCTGCAGTGAGACTCCGTGTGGTAGGGGTTATGGACAGACCTAAGCAGGTGACGGTCTGTGTGAAATCTGAGCCTTGGTGGGGGAAACCCGATATCCTTTGTCTGCTAGAAAGTTGAGTGTTGTTGAGACTCTTGTAACAAGGGACTGCACAGGAGGAGGTCATCTACATACTGGAGGACAGTGCTTGAGCCTAAGTTGCAGGCGGCAAGATCCTGGGCAAGAGCCTGCCCAAAGAGATGGGGGCTGTCTCTAAAGCCTTGGGGAAGGACTGTCCATGTCAGTTGTTGTGAGAGGTTGGTGTCAGGGTCAGTCCAGGTAAAGGCAAAAAGAAAATATAAATCCTGATGGAGCGAGATAGTAAAGAAAGCGTTTTTGAGGTCCAGAACAG